CATCAAAATTATATACTTGACGGGAACAACACAAATTTCATCCCTCAAGTTTGCGCCCATTTCACATTTGGTCCCTCATGTTTTAAAAAATTAACAATTTTAGTCATTTCCGTCAATTTTCCGTTAGTAATAACGGAATCAAGTATGTGCCCAAAACTGCCTAACTGGCGGACTAACGGTAAATTGACGGAAAAGACCAAAAGTGTAAAATTACTGAAATATGAGGATCAAATGTGTTTTTCGTGAACACGGGGGACCAAATGTGAAATGGCCGCACACTTGAGGGATGAAATTTGTAATTTTCCCATATATTTACTCTATTTTGATTTATTTCATTTATTTATAATTAGTGATGTCAAGTGACGACGATTGTGAAAAGACAACGAGGGCCCTACATCAAGGAGCCTTTCTTCGTATCAAAAAGCCCGTTACAATGCAAATGACGGGGTACCTATGGCAACACGTGCTTAGAGAGAAAACACGTAGACGATTAAGAGAGTCGACTACCGGTTACAATAGTCAAGATTTTCGAGATCAAGAAGAAGGTAACCGAAACAACTATAAAAATGTTGGAGGAAGAAAGACAAAAACGAACTCGGGGAAAAATACTTCGCAAAATGATGACGATATGTTGAATAAGAAGGTTTGGATCGAATGGACCGAGGAGCTTCACTATAAATTTGTCGATGCCGTCATTCAACTCGGAGAAGGAAGTATATTTTTCTCTTCCCTTTAAATTAATTCAACATTATATATAATTTCGCGATCCCAAAAAATATAGAGTTAATTACTTATATACGCTTCGTCTTTCTTGAACATTAGGATGCTATCCGAAAGAGATCCTCGAACTAATGAACGAACCGAGACTTACGAGAATGCAAGTGGCAAGTCATCTTCAGGTTCGTTTTGATCAATTAATTAATATAACCATGAAATTAACCGATCGCGCGCAATTTAACTGGGCTAGTTAATTTCATCTACTTATATATATACAAAATCGAGTCGATACTAACTTTTAGTAGAAATTAGTTATACGATGCATTTAGGGTTTTCTATACGCTTGCGCAATAGTATTAATTAGTTGATACGTAGAAGAATATTTGAATTTACTCGGTATATTTTCACAATTCTAATTTTTTTTTTATAAAATAGAAATGTCGCAAAGCTAATTGGCTACCTCCGGGCGCGAGAAAATCCAAGTCAACTAATATGGAGTCAACACCACCGAAAAACAAAGCCCGGAGGTCGAAAACCGAGAGATTTGGATCGATGCCTTTTATCGACAACGATGAGTTCAACCCTAGAAGCCGAAAGTATAATCACGGAGCCAATATCGATCCACCGGTAAAACCTAATCCGAACGAAGCGTATTATTATCCTCAACTTGTTCTTGATCATGACAATTATTATTCCTTTGCTAATCACCAGAGCAGTGAAGTATTCAACATGGGACGATTTTTTGGCGCGGGAGAACCGTCAATTGCGTACGGTTCCCAAAATGCCCCTCCTAGTGACTTGACCGATGACACCTTTGAAGGTTCGGACACGGATTCCATGGTCCAAATCTTATCGGAATTCGATCAAGATTTAGAAATGGATTACAATGTTAACGAGGTTAATTATATTATTCGTTTTAAGACATTATTTTTCGTTTCCTATACACTTTTTTTTTTTTAATTTTAATTAAGTTGTATCTCAATATATATTTGCAGATGACTACTGTAACTAATGCAACTAGTGAGTGGAGCCAGGAGGACGAAGAATCGGTGAATGACGAAGAAACGGAAGGCTAGATCGAGGAGGGATAATTTTCGGATCGGAATATTGTCGTTTAATTACTTTAAATTACTAATAATAATAATAATAATAATAATAATAATATTGGATATATTATATATTATGTAGTAAGCTTAATTATGTAATTGAAGGAATTAAAATTTACTCATGCTATCTTATCGAATATAATTCATGCAATTAATAAATTAAACGACTTATAGTACAAGTAATTTGCCCGATCGTGCATGCAATTCGTATTCGTAAATTAGTCGATAATAACTTTATCTCAAATGGCTGAAGAATAAGTTGTGGCAACCAAAATACGGCTAGGGGGGTCATGGCCCCCATGGATTTTTTAAATAATCCCTACTATTATGATATGAATTAAATAAATTTACTTTTATTCTATTTGAATGATTTTTAATAGGATTAGGTCATTTCTCGAATGGCCGTCCAAAGCTTCTTGATGTTTTTTCAGCCGGTTTTTCCATTCTCGCTCATTTTTTGACCATTTTGCCCTCCAAATGTCCGATTCTTCAATTTGCAACAAAAACACAATAACCAAGTCTTTAAACACCATTTAATAAATAAAATCTCATTAAAATCCTCGTAAGAGAATATAAATCGAGTGTGAAACCTACACTCAATGCCTCGTGTAGACTACTACTCTATGTTCAATCAAGAATTCCTATCGATCCACAGATAGAATCGAATGTGCATGGAAATTCCAATTCGGACAAAGGGTATAATCATCAACTTGTTCTCGATCATGATCGCAATTACCCTTTTACGCAGGACAATGAAATAACATTATTCAACATGGGACAAACATTTGGCGTTGACCATAATTTGACTTATGGTGCAAATCTTGTCTACATTGGAACAAGAAATATAGGAATAATGAACTACAATGGAAGCTTGCAATCACTTGTCTTTGTGAAGATGCGAACATTAACCAAGTATCGATTATAACACTCGCTTCTTACTTCTATATTGGAGTACTTTTAAAACATTGTTTTTGGGTTATGTAAGGTTTTTAGGAAAATATATTGTTTTCATCCCTGAAGTTTGCACATATTTCACATTTGGTCTCCATGTTCACAAAAAACACATTTGGTCTCTTATGTTTAAAAAAATCAACACTTTTAGTCCTTTCTGTCAATCTCCCGTTAAAACTAACGGAATCAAGTGTGTGCCCATTACTGCCTTGACTAACGGACTAACGGTAAGTTGACGGAAATGACCAAAAGTGTTAAATTATTAGAACATGAGGGACCAAATGTGCTTTTTTGTGAACTTGGGGACCAAATGTGAAATCGGTACAAACTTGAGGGATGAAAACTGTAATTTCCCCAAGTTTTTTACTAAGTTTTTGTCTCGATTTTATTAGATGCTTACTGCCGCTAATGCAATTAGCGAGTGCAGTCAAGAGGAACCAAACTCAGTGAACGACGAAGAACTCGAAGGCTAGATGGTGGGGGTTGGGTGTGGAGGACCATAATGTATGTTTAATTTCTTTTCGAGTAAAAACAATAAATAATTGGAAAAATACAGTTTCAATCCCTCAAGTTTGCATTGATTTCACATTTGGTCTTCCATGTTCACAAAAAAACACATGCATTTTGTCCCTCATGTTCAGAAATTCAACATTTTTAATACTAAGGGAATCAAGCGTGTGTTTGTCCATCAATGTCTTAGCTGACGGACTAACGGCATATTGACGGAAAGGGCCGTAAATGTTAAGATATTGAAACCTGAGGGACCAAAAGTGTTTTTGTGAATATGTGGACCGAATATGAAATCAGTGCAAACTTGAGGGGTTAAAACTGTAATTTTTCCTAATAATAATAATAATTAATAATAATATTGGATTAAGAATGAAATAGTAACTTTAAGATGTCAACTTATATTATTATATAAGTTAAAAATTTGATTTTTCTATCAATTCAAAGATTTCACCAATATTGATTCTGTAAGTACGAGGGCTAGTTTGGAATAAAATCACAAAGATTTTGAATCACGTTATCTCTGCAGCCACCAACTCATACTTAGCAAAAAAATAAATAAAATACATGCAAATCTTCGTGAAAAATAGTGCCATTTCTTTCTTAATTATATTATTTGGAATACTCAAATCCTCACATAATATTCCATTATGTTTTCAGTATATTATATTCCATATATTTTTTCTAATAGTGAAGATACAAATCCGAGGAAATTCTCTCCCAATTTTATAGAATATTTTAAATACAATATTTTCAAATCTTCTCTATAAATTAGTCATTTTGATTTTGTAACTAAATATGTAATTTTGTTTTTATTTTTTTACTATTTGAACTCGGTTATTTATTATATATGATATAATTTTAATATTTTTATAAATTTATCAATACCACTTAACGACTATTTTAAAAAGTGATATTAAAGAAAATATAATACCACATTAATTTTAATTACTATTTTTAAATTTGTTCAAGAAAACAATATCTTCAATAAAAATGGCCGATTTTACTACCCTTTGACTGTGGAAACACTTTCAAGTTTCGATTCATATATACAATTCACTCGTTAAGTAAATGATTTTAATTACACGAAACTCAATCTGGAACGAAATTTTCATAAAATTATATATGTGCGCGCGCGCACGCGCACGTGCATGATAAATTGAGAATAGTAACTTTAAGCATATACTCCATATTATGTATCTTAACAATGTAGTTAAATAAAGTACATATATAGTACCATTGGCCATGTCACATTTTTCTATTATTAGATCCAAAGTACAAATTTAGAAAAATTAAATTCAAGAAAAGCATATATAATTAGAAAGTACATTTGTACAATTATTGAAATATCAAAATAGAAGATTAATTTTGATCTTATGATATCTGGTGGGATCTTTATTAATCTTTCCAAACTGTCCAAATATCTTCTGGATTTCTTCAAACCCTAATATATATATATACACACACATACATACAACATTGCATTCAACGTCCATTCTTGATTTTTCTCAACACTCAAATTAAGTTTAAATTCAAATTCAAAAATTTTATAATTAAGCAATGAATGGAATTATAACAAACGCGGAGACGACGACGATGCAGTTCCACGTGTTAGCTGTCGACGACAGCGTAATCGACAGAAAGTTGATCGAGAGGCTTCTCAAAACTTCTTCTTATCAAGGTACATTATAATTTGTATATTTTCCACAAATTTCATAATTAATATATTTTTTTGTAATAGTGAAATTATTTTCTTTAAATTATTTTTTTATTCATTATTATTTTATTATGGTGTGTTTTGCAGTTACTGTTGTGGATTCTGGTGTGAAGGCTCTAGAGTATTTAGGGTTAGTGGATGATGAAATTGCAAATACAAACACAGATTCAAACCCTATTTCTACCATCAAGAATCATCATGTATATTTCTATTTAAACCCTAATTAGTTATATTATCTCAATTATTTTATTATAATTGTAAGCGCAAATTACGGCCAACCATCTAAGGTATGGCGAAATTACAAAAACCCCCTCCTGTTTGGGCGATTTACAATGACACCCCTCAACTATGTTATGTCTACTAAATGAGGGATTTTTTCGTAAGAAAAAATACATAGTTGAGGGGTAGTTGTAATTATCCAAACAAGAAGGATTTTTTTGTAATTTGGTCTTACCTCAGGGAGTGACTGTAATTTTCCGTAATTGTAATTACTTAACAATTTTTTTCACATGCAGGAAGTGGAAGTGAACTTGATTATCACCGATTACTGCATGCCGGGAATAAATGGTTACGATCTTCTCCGAAAAATTAAGGTATAGTTAGGATTCTTTACAGCAACCATTTTAATTTTGTTTATTTATTTTTTCTTGTGCAAAAAATTGGCATATTTACTTTTTGCAATTAACTTTTTTCCAGGAATCGACAACATTAAAGAATATTCCGGTAGTAATAATGTCGTCGGAGAATATTCCGTCGAGGATAAACAATTGTTTGGAGCAAGGAGCAGAAGAATTCTTCCTAAAACCAGTTAAACAATCTGATGTGAATAAACTGAAGCCACATTTAATGAGAGGAAAAGGGAAAGAAAATCAGCCTAATTTTGTTGTTAACAAGAGAAAGCCAATGGCAGAATGCCTCTCACCTGATAGAATAAGAACAAAATACAACTATATATAGCTATATATATATTATCTGTATTGCAATTTTAATAATATTATTGTAGTTTGTATTTAATTTATCCTTTTTTATGAATTATTTCATGATGGGTGTATTTTATATTTTTTTATGTTAATGAATATTTATATTCTATAGTTTTTTCGAGTTTTGGGGGTAAGATATGTTACAAGCTTTTTTGGAGGACAGGATAATTAATTTTTAAGGCAAATTACGACGTATGGTCAACTTACAAAAAATAAATAAAAAAATATTATGTTTTTATAATTATAAGCACTCCTCAATTGTGTATTATTTATAAAAACTCCCTCTAGTTGATAAATTTAGGAGCGGTCATTGGTAAAATTGTACGTAAATTGTTTTTAAAATTGTACATAAATTGTTTTACCCCAAAATTTCGTATCGTTTAGTGTTTGGTTCGACAAATAAGCGAATTACCAAAATTCTACTAAAAATATTTAATTTTT